ATGACCAAGCGAACTCATCTCACTTCAGACGACTCGTGTCTGCCTCTCAAGAAGCGTCGCAACCTCGGCCAAGCTCTCCACGGCGTCGCCCACGCCGCCGCCTTCATCGTGCCCGTGCCGCCCAGGACGCCCGACTTCGCGTTCTCACCCATCTCTCACCACGGACCCGCCACCTACTTCTTCAGGCCTTGGTGCTCGCCAGAGACGCTCGTTCCAGCCATTCCGGCGAACAATGATGTCCTTTGGCAAGAAACAATTTCGTCGGGACACCTTGGCGTCAGCAGCGCCCCCTGCATGAGCGAAAGCCTCGTCACCGACACGAATGACTCTGGAATCAGCGAATCCAGCGCCGATTCCTCCCTGGAAGGTTCACCCTTGCAGACGCCCATGAGCGCCGTCTTCAGCCCTCCCGCGAGCGACATGAGCCACCGCGAGACCCCTCGGATTGACGCGCCGCCCTTCGCATCGCGGACGCCGCTCTCGGTCCACGGGGAGAGTCGCTTCGACTGCGAGGACTGCGGCCGCAAGTTTAAGAAGCGGGCGTACCTGGTGCGCCACCGCCGCCTGCACACGGGCGAGCGGCCCTACAGCTGCGACATCTGCAGCGCCACCTTCTCGCAGATGCCCAACCTGTGGTACCACAAGCGCATCCACACGGGCGAGTCGCCGTACGAGTGCGCCGTGTGCCAGCGCAAGTTCCGCAGCTCGTCGCACCTGAAGCGGCACCAGAGGCTGCACACGGGCGAGACGCCCTACGCCTGCCCCAGCTGCCCCGCCGCCTTCATCACGTGGGACAAGCTCAACAGACACAAGATGATCGACCATCAATAGATTTTTCATTGCATGAACTCACTTGTATATAAACATGACGTAATAAAAGGCTTTATACTATAGACGTACTTTTATTTATTGTAAATATATTCTAACTGAACAGGTTTATATGCATATACACACGTATATATATATATATATATAGTATATATGTATACACACACGCAAAAAGTTTATTATATACATGCATACATATATGTATAGATAGATATATATGACATATATGAATATATATTTTTCATATAAATTCACTTTTACACATACATTGTATAATATATATATATATATATATATATATATATATATATATATATATATATATATATATATATATATATATATATATATATATGAAATGTTATATATCAGGAATAAGTAAACTGTCCTAGCAGTCACCGAGGTAACTTGAGGTCATCCGGAAATCTGAGGTCAGACATCCTTCTTGTTTCTGTTCTCAGTAATTCCTGATTTTGTCGCATAACCTGGCCTTCACATCTACTTATCACTTATTAAAAATAATTTCAAACTGAACATAATTGCCGTAAAGCTTTTTATTGCATCGTCGGACGTTCTCCCATCGCCCTTATCGCTTATTAGGGTTTTCAACTTTCTCACAGTAGTTGCCATTGAATTTTATATTCATATGCTATTACACACATTATATATATATATATATATATATATATATATATATATATATATATATATATATATATATATATATATATATATATACATATATATATATATATATATATATATATATATATATATATATATATATATATATATATATATATATATATATATATATATATATATATATATATATATATACAGATTTTCAGATCAGAAGACACAGATCAGATGAATAATTATCGTCCGATAATTTAAGTGATATCTTAGAATCCAATCACCTTATTCTGAAACGCAGCAAGGGTTTAGGAGAAAGTTATCCACTAAAACAGCATTACTAAAAATCACAAATCTATGATAACAGACAAAAATCAAATAAATCTACTCACATTGTGTGATCTATCAAAAGCATTTGGCAGTGCTTAAGAAAGTGAAAAATCATTTTGTCAGATCTTGGTTCAATTGTTATTTATCAACAAGGCTGCAGTCTCTTTCGGTCCGATCAAAAAAGTAATGGGTACACCTATATCCCTAAATCACACAAAACAAAATCCCAACTGATACGGGAGTTACTGTTAAACAAGTCTTTGCACTCAGCATTACAAAGTACAATTCCAATATATGGAGTTCAACCAACAAAAGTCAAGAAATATATATAAAAACTCAAAACTACAAAACTTTGCCATAATAGTGGCTTTGAGTTGTATAAATAAACATGACCAGTTGACCTTCCATATAAACAAATTAAAATGGTTAAAGTTCAGAAAACAGTGTCATTATGACACATGTATACTAATTCATATATTCATAGAGGGTAATTATCATCATTGCTTAATGCCCCTACAAACATTAGGTAACAAGACATTCGTTCCAACCAGACAGAATGACTACGCGTCAGGGGATGGCAACAGGGACAACGAAGGGAAGGGCAAGTAAAGACACGAATATGCAGAAGGCCTTTTCGCTATTCTTCGTCAGGGCATATGACGAAGCAATAACGAAAAGGCCTTAGGCATATTCGTGTGTTTTCTTG